TGTTGTCTGAAGATGTGCACAGTCCTAATGATGCGAGAATCATGTTGACGCTGCAGAACTCGGCTGGGTTCCTTAAAGCGTTTGATTGTCCTCAGAAGAAACCTACATGTGAGCTTTGGTAGTGAGTAGATTGGGGATATTATAAGCGATTTCTTGTATATAGTGAAAGCATGTTTGCATAGTCACAGTTGAATATCTTAAAACCTTTGAAACAAACTCCCCCTTATTTTGTCAAACATTTGGTATCACCGCTGTTGCTTCTGGCCAAGGTGCTCTGTCCTTCTCATCTGGAGCATATGGCTCCTTTTCTAATTGCTCTATCGGCCAGGACATCAAAGCCTGCCATTCTTCTCCAAGTTGAGCTTGTATAGCCCTAATTTCCCTTCCAGGGGATGGGCCAACCCACCATGTATAACGAATACAACTAGCCAAAGCAAAAAAGTGCGCTAGCAAAACCAAAGCACGCGGTTTCTGGAAGCGTAGCAGCTCTATGAAACGTGCAGAAACCAATACAGAAAAGGATGTCAACCGTCTGCTGATCATCTTGGGATCTTCACTAGATCTCATTGCCCGCATGACGGAGCCAATGTAGCTTACAACGTTCTCGTACGCTGTGTCATCGCTCTGATCATGTATCTCACCCTCTCGGAAGTCGAGGAGATGTTCGAGACCTTCTCGGTTAGACTTGCAAAACACAACCTCTGCTTTCACGTAAGATCCAGCCGTGTCTACAAGAGACCGCATCTTCGCACCTGAATCGTCTTTTAAGAGCTCTATAGCTTGCTGAAACACACCGCCGAGACCTCGAGACATTTGAAGCCAGTGAAGAGGGGGCTCGTATGGTTCCAGCTGGCGGAACCTCAAATTCGCAAAAGCATCCATAGTGAGAAGCACTGAGACAAAGCATGCTGCGTCTGAATTTTCTTTCGTCATGTTTGCGAGAGTCTCGCGATGTTGCTGCACCGTCGCTTCGAGGTAGTTGGCTCGATGCAGCTCGAGCTCGGGGTCAGTGTCTCTGCCTTGGGTGAGTAGGTAAAGACAAGATATCGACATGATGGCGTTGAGCAGGGGTTCATGTTCTAGAGCCATTCGTGGCACCTCGTTTACCCATGTGTTTTGGAGCACGGGGAGGTGTGTTCCCGCCGTGTGTGGACAGATGTCAGCGACAAAAGTATGCAAGAGGCGAAGCTCGAGATACCGGCGCTCGCGGGTTTCGGTTGGTGGAGCGGGACTAGGATGGTCTATTGGAGTTGATGCAACGGTTGAGGGTGTCCCTGTCCTTGGTTGGGGTGCACGATCGTAGTGGCAGTGGACTCTGTGTCGATGACAGCCGCCCTGGGTGACACGGTACCGTCAATTCACAAGACACCTTGGTATTGTGTAGCGATACTTACACAAACTGGTCTGGCTTCATCACACTGCATGGTATTAGTGACTCGGTTACCAGCCCGAAGCTCACTCTGGATCTCACCTTGACGCGTCGTGACCTACATCTCGCACAGCCTGTTTTAGATTTGGTGTGATACAGACGTGGCATATCTCGATCATAGATATAGAGAAGCTCGAATAGGGAATAGTCACGAAGAGGCCATAGATACCATGGATACTACAGAGGTGGGTAGGGAGGTTGTATCGCAGCCTTGGCGGACGTGGAGGTTGGCTGATTGTATTAGGTAATCTTGCATGACACAGGCTCACCTGATCTTGGCTGAGGACTTGACTCAGTTGCATTCCTATCTCAACACTATAATTCTTTGTCTGTTGGTTAAAGTCTAGGATTTCTATCTTCTACAAGGTCAAGTAAATCACCCTATACGAGATTGTTTAACCGGTGAATCTGCTACACCTTATCAACCAATTCCACTTACGTCATATTATCCACCAGCTCTGAAAACCTTGGTGATGATGCATCCAGCAAAATCAGGCGTCGCCGCCATCACTCTCAAATGCCAAGACATGGCGTTGCATGTGTCTTTTACACTGCCACAATCTTCTCCTCTTTAAAACGGGGAAGGCATCAGCTGTTTACTGGCTAGATCGTGTCTTGCCTACCGTCTCGTCCATGCACCGACATCTCGGTTGAGTGTGGCTATGCTAACAAGGAAGCAGGAAAACGGCATCACTCTGAGCTTGGCAGACTTGGCGACATTTTTACATCCAGAGCCTGATATCCCCTCGCGGATGATGCCCTCTACTCCTCCTAATTCCGTCTAGATGATTCATTTCATTGCTTTGAGACTGTCTAACCCCTGTTGGGCTTTCAACTTTTCAAAATGGCCCAGGTTGAACGACTGTGGACCATCTACGAAGAGCTTGTCGATTCGACTTGCAAAAACCAACAGACAACTTCAGAGGATGCTATCCGGCTGAAGAATCGACTCCAAGAGGTTACCAAAGTTGTCAAGGCTAAAACCAAGGGAAGTCTACGTGTTGACTTTTCCGCAAGTACGGATTCACTACCCAAGGTGGAGGCAGATATCCTTTTGGAAGGAGAAGACAATGATACCACACCTGAGGCACGTCGACTTCCTCACGAATCACTCAGTTTGTCTGCCCCCTATTTAGACGTTGAAAATGATAAATCTAATAGAGCTAGGTCTTTACCGTCGCAAGACATACGGCAATGGCAATGGCCAAGACAGTATCATGCTTGATGCTGAATCAGAACCAGGATATACCGGCGCCATTCCGGGGACAGTGACAGCCAAAGGCTTTGGAGTCGAATGCTGGGAAGCCGAGTATCTTTCCAACAGGAAAATCGAAGAACCTCGAAAAGCTGAAAAGCCAAAATTCAAATGCGTGGAGGAGAAGAAGATTCTGAGGCGGATCGACGAGATGAGAAGAGGGACACGACTTCATGAAAGAAGCGAGGATCAGAGGAAGGCAGACCTGGAAGAGTTTACAGCTGTGGCGTAAGTACATCTTTGTTCAAGCTAAGCGAGGGGTTACTGACCTTTCAGCTCCAAATCAAAACCTGAGACGAATCAAGAGGCAACCCCATCTCCAGATTCTGTTTGCAACTTACTCAACCGTGCCGACATATTCACCGACTTTTCAACCAAGTCCTCTATTTCGTCCGAGTGGGCAAGCCTCAAGAATGCAGACCATGGCAAATGGCATCTACTATGGCAAATCATCCTTGCTAGAGAACTCGCACTTGACTTGGAAAACCCACCTGAAACTCCAAGCTCCGAGCTGTCCCGTTCCGTGCTGGCTGCTCTCATCATCCAAGACCAATGGCTTCAAAACGTTGAGGTCGTGATGGAAGAGATGCCTCTTAATCTTTCAGGGTTAAGGAAACTAGCTGCCACTAGAGAAGTGAAAACTCGGGCAGAGGATCACAAGAGTCAAGGCGACAGGGCGATTGAGGAGAAGCAATGGAAGATTGCCAAGGAGTTCTACACAAAAGCCATTGAGCTGGACTTGAGTTCGGCCATATACCGTGCCGCTCGACCTGTTGCGGACTTACAACTTGGAAATTGGGCAAATGCAGCTCAGGATGCCCTCGTTGCCACGAAACTGGATCCCAAAAATGTCCATGCTTGGAATATGCTGGCTGCCGCCTGGAAGAAAGGTGGAAACGACGTGAGGGCCTTGGCGGCTTATGAACATGCCGTTAAACTTGCTGGCTCCAAAGCAACCGATCAGATGAAACGGGATCTTGCTGAGGCGAAAGCAAGAGTTGAAGAGTTGAGTAGCCCGCAGCCTGAGCAAGATCAAGTCTCGAGGGACAAAGCTCTCAAGGCTCTAGGCGATCAACAGTGGGACACTTTCCTTCATCCAACTCGTCTTCAGTCTCACTGCCATGAGGCACAAGTGGAAGGCTTGATATGCTTTGCTCAACACATCAAGTGGCCCTACTTAGACGAAGTGCGTGCCAATGCGAAGGATGCCTGGAGAAAGACAACCACCGGCGCTATAGTCTCGTGTCTGATGCAGGACTGGTTGCTTGGGTTGACACTGCCTGGGAAGTGGGTGGCATTGAAACTCATGTCATGTCTCATCGAAATGTCACCCTCCGTCTCAAAAATACGCCTTACTGAGTCTTACCAACATGGGCTGTCTCTTCCTCGATGTTCCTATTGGAGATCTAGGAGCGTGCTTGGTCGAGTACTTGGGGCTTGGTCAGGGGTGACATCTCTGTGTGGCTGGGTTGGACCATGTCCACCTGTGGTTGTGGACCACCCCATGTCGAAGAAGAAGTCATCGGCTAGTATGTTGGTAGATGCTAAGCCAGCTGATCTCATCAAATCCTCTAGCATTGCTTCAAGGGATTCAGATTACCATTTGGCACGCTGGCGACCTAGCCCTGATGAGGATCTATGGACCTATTCTGACGACATGACCAACGACAAGAAATGGGTGACGATCCCTCATCCTCGCATCCAAGACTTGAGACCAGTTGCCGTCAAGGCGATTAGACTCAAACAGATCCACCCACACCTCCCTGCAAATGAGAGAAACGTCGAGTACCGGGCCAGCATTGACTTTAGCTTCGTCATCAGAAAGTTGGTACCGTTGACCAAAGTCGTCACTTATACCCTCTTCACAAACCCAATCTTTGTATCCTTACCACCTTGTCACGGAGGAAAGAGCGGCGGACACGAATTACACACCCGAGAAGTTCAGAAGAACCAGACTGTTGTGATACCCGTCCACCAGATGAAGGATTTTGACGGCAACAACAAGGATGGACGCCTGATAGTCATCAACGCTGCTTGCAACGGAGGTGAGATTATGGCAAGAGCCTGGTGCGCAGAAAAAGGGAGGAATGCTGTTGTGAGAAGAGGTGGAGGACCCTGTTACGCCTGCGCAACTCGTGTGGCTTCAAAAGAGGGGTTCGACTTTGGTGTGTTAATTTGGGTATCACATATCGATGTTTAATAAGTGTTATAAAAGTTTCCATGAAATCTAGAATGCCAATAGTAGATTTTCCAATATTCTCTACCCCCTGCCTAGTTCTCCGTATCTGATAAATCGCTACTATATCAGTAACGGCTTCATGCCTTGCGTCGCTCCCATCGGATATAGGCAGGTTGTACCGGCCTAGAGAAGAGAGAGTTGTAGTCAGTTGCCGGAACCCCTGATTTCCCATCCATCGTAGACAACTTAAAGTTGCGCACCATAGTGGCAACAATAACTCCAAGATTGACATAGGCAAACTTCTCTCCAATGCAGCGATGTCGACCAGCTCCAAAGGGCAGATATGGGCTCTTTGTTCCCTTGGATACCTTTCCGTAGCCATAGTCCACCACATCATCTCCAGCAACTTCCTCCTTTTCCTTGTTGTCCCATCGATGAGGGTCCCATGTTCTAGCGTTGGAGAAGTACTCTTCGCTAAGAGCTGTCACGGTAGGTGAAGCTAGGATGACCTTGTCTGTGGTGATGGTGTACTGGGTGCCTGGTGCCTGCATGGGTGTCTTGACCTTGCGGAGGATAGAGTGGATAGAGGAGTGAACTCGAAGGGTTTCTTTGACCACATTTTGGAGAAGGGTGAGCTTGTCGAGGTCCGAATGTTGAAGAGGCGGAAGATAACCGTCGACACTCAGGTGGGTGAGTTGCTCCTGGTACAGCTCTTCGGCAATATCAGGACGTGAAGCAAGACGGAACATGATCCAGGAGCTAGCCGAAGAAGACGAGTGTTGACCTGCCATAAGAAGAGTAATCATCATGTGAGCAATCTCTTTGTCAGGAACCGGTTGTCCGTTTTTGTAGGTGCAACCCATCAAGTTGGCAATCATGTCGGAGTACTCTCCCAGATCACCCCCTTCCGCTCTTCGCTTATTGATAATGTCCATGTAGATATCCCTCATCTTGGCATGAGCAGCGTCTCGTTTTCGGTTATGAGGTAGAGGAGCCCAGGGGAAGAGAAAATTGACGGGCTTGAAGCCAAGATCAAGGTCATGATACAAAGCAGCAAACTCTGCCGTGAGCTTCCTCCTGACTTCTTCCCCTTGTAGCGATCGAGCAGCGGTAAAAATTGTAATCTCAGCCATGGCGTTGGAAATGTCGACAGTACCCTCGCTTCCAGAGAAGGCCGGCACAGCATGTATATAGTCGAGGACTTCGCGTTCGATAAGCTGGACGTGGGACTCGAGAGCCTTTTGCGTGAGGCCAAATTTGACAAATTTCTTTTGCTCCATAAACTTGGAGTTGGGGCAATCGTATACGACATCGCTACCGAAGACGGGGATCGTGAGGGGACCGTAGATCTCTTCGGCGTTGGCGTCTTGGAGTCGGCTGTTGAGGACAAAGTCGTTGCCTTCGACTCCGAGACAGCAGACAATCTTGCGGCCAAAGAGGACAAAGGTGAAGACGTCGCCGTGCTAAAGAAGATACGGACCAACAGTCAGCGAAGAATTGCAGTGTGCTAGAGTTGGTACTCTACCTTCTCTCGACACTTCATGAAGAAGTTACACGGATCTAGGCCATACGACACAGCATTGCCGATGAAGGGAAGCCAGTGGAAGATGAGAGGAGGCTCTCCCGCCTTTCGAAAGAGCTTTTGTCGCAAGGCATGTATAAGGATAATTCCCAGAAAGGCTCCAATGGCCAAGACTGGGTACCAGACAAGAAGAAGCATCTGGGCTAGAAACAAGGGGCTTGATGGAGGAGTTGCTCGCAGGATGAAGAATCATTAAAGACGAGGAACACGGAGGGCTTTTAAAGCAACAGAGAAGCTGTGATAAAGACAGAAATGCCTCTTTCTCTCTCGTTTCCCCCTTCATCCTCCAACACTCTCACCAACCCCCTGCTTCCACAGCCAAGGATTACCGCGGGTCAGTGTTGAAGCATCCTCAGCGCCTCTGATACTCCATTTCTACGAGATAACCGAAGCATTGGCCAATGAGTGTCTCTCGGCGTAAGCGTTCTAGTATCGGTGTGCTGGTATTGATCCTATGCTTGTCAAGAGAGCAGTAAGAGATGACGAATACGGGCTCGGTTCTGTCGTACTCGTACGGGTCTCGACACCCTGGTTAAGCCCTGATCGTGAGTTATTGGTTGGTTACATGAGTTCCCCATAAGTTCAAAGCCACTGCCGCTTCGCGAGCTGCCAGTGAGAGCCTCTCCTGCGGGATAGCAAATCAAGAGCCTAATAACAGAGGCTAGCAAGGGTATCTAGACCCACCAGGTTTTATCAATTTGCTTACGGTATTCGCGGGGGTTCGCTTAGCATTTTGAAGCTATCCCCACCTCAAAGGTTTGGTTCCTCTTCTTTTTCTTCTCTTGTGTATAATGCTTACATTGCAAGGGAAATTTCTCCTCTTTCCACTCGGGTTCCATTCTCGCTTTAACCAATTCCAACATCTCGCATGCTGACAGGCTTGACCATTGGCGGAAGAAATGGTTTCATCCCGACAACGCAATGGCTCGCTTCACCCTTGAAGAAGACTCATTCGACTTGTTTGCTGGTTCTGGGCTTTGGCACTTGAGTATAGGAGATATATCCAGTCAAAGATTCATCGAGGTTTGAATTCGTCTCTTTAACCTTTTCTAAATACGGTTTTCTATTGTATTTATAAACATCCAGTTGGCTGTTTGCGATGCTCAAGCTTTCTATTTCAAGTATGTTTTAATTCAAACCCCCTTGATAACATCAGCAGCCTTTTCAGCTACGGCATACACCGAAGACATGATATTTCCACGAGGGATAAGCGGAAAGATGCTAGCATCAACGACACGTAGATTCTTCGTGCCGTAGACAACCAGATTGATATCCACGACGCCTCCCTTATCCTTGGGCAACATTGCAGCCGTACCGCACACATGGAACGTGTTGGAAGCCGTGTCGAGGACGTACTTCTTGGCCCCCTCTAGAGTTCCAATGTGGAAAGCATCAGGGTGATTACGTTTCCCGTCAGGCTTAAGGAATGCCCCAAATGCTTTGGTTTGGCGGAGATCCTCGAGGGCCCGGACGTTTTGAGCCAGGATCTCAAGGTCAGCCGGGTGGGAGAAGTAACGGGGGTCGATTTCAGGCATAGCATCGACATCGGCTGATGATATGTGAGTTGCTCCACGAGAAAGAGGATGAGATTGGAAGCAGCCGAAAGAGACAAAGTTCTCGGGCATTCGCGACGATCCGATGTAACTTTTTCCGTGTTCATGAACGTTTGCCTGTACCTGGAACAGGAAGCATGCAGCAGAGGTGGCGTCAGGTTTCTCGAGAATCGAACGGACAGCGTTGTAGTAATCTTGGTTCTCGGGCGTTGGCGGGTACTTATCCAGTAGCTCACTGATAGAGTCAGGGCTGGGCATGAAGGCATGACACTGCGTGCCACCGACAGCAAAGGGGCCAGCTCGATGTTTCTGGTAAAGCTCCTGGGCGAGGGCGAGAGCTTCTGGTTCCTGACGCAGGAGGGGATCTCCAGTCATGACGCCGTCGGCCACTTCGAAGCTGACGCTAGTCATGACGTGGTCCTGCAGGTTTTCTCCTACGGCAGGGAGATCAACAGTGACGGGGATTCCATGCTTCTCCAGTGTCTCTTTCCCTCCAATACCCGAAAGCTCAAGTAGCTTGGGAGTGTTGAAAGCGCCCGATGCGACGATGACCTCCTTGGCAGCAGTAAAGGTCTTGGTCTCGCCTTTGACTTTGGCCTGTACTCCGGTTGCCACGACACCGTCAGAGTTCTCTTGGAACAGGATCTTATGGGCCTTAGCACCCGTGATAATCTTAAAGTTGGACCTCTGGAGAGCAGGAAGGGCGTAAGCAGAGCCAGCATAGCTTCGCGTCTTGGTCTCTGGGTCGACACTTCCCGCACTACTATATCCTCCAATTGAATTTCCTGAGAATGGATCTGTTTACATGTTAAAACAAGGTGATAGGAGAGTAGCTCGCCAACATACCGCCAGTTGTGCTCTTGTTCAACTCTCGGAACGCATCAATCCACGCTTTGCAGAGAGGATCCTCAAGAACACCGGGAAAGGACACTTTGATAGGGCCAGAAGTGCCTTTATACTCGTCATTGATCCAGTCGATGCCCAGGTGATCAAGTGTCGCCTGGTCCTTGGGCGGCAGAAGGGTATATGACTTTTTGTAATATGGCACCAAGCTGGCCCAATCCCAGCCAGCATTGCCCAGCTTCCCCCAAGCGTCAATATCAGCTTGAGCGGGGGCAACAAAAACCTGGCCATTGAGAGAAGATGTACCACCGATGGCCTTTCCCAGGGGAATTTTGACAGAGCGATCCTTCAGACCTGGCTGGGGAGTTGAATGGTACCGCCAGTCCGCATCAGATCCAAGAAGGGCGAGCCAGAAACCGGGGACGTTGACGCGGGGGTCAGCAGTGAGGTCATCACCAGCTTCGAGGACCAGGACTTGAACATTGGGATCTTCAGAGAGGCGGTTTGCAACGACAAGGCCGGATGTGCCGCCGCCGACGATGATGTAGTCAGGAGAAGACATGATGGAAGACGATAAAGTGTCAGTGAGAAAGTCGGAAACCTCAACTGACAACTCTCAGAGGACCCGCGTATATATGAGTAACTGGGCTCTGCCTGTCTTATCAGGGTATCTTCCTTGGCATGCAGCTTTTTCACCCTGTCGTTAGACGACGTTCAAGGACAGACCCCAGTGTACAACTACATTGGGGATTAGCGCTGACTGGGAATTTTATCACATCCATGGCTTAGTGACAAAGGCCAAACATGGCAAGGTCTGTTTCTATTTCAAGAGGCTTATGCCAACATGTCTACCAAAGTCCAATCTTGATCGGTAGCGACCCCATGCCTACCCAGGTAGTTGTGTCATGTCGTGATCCATCGTGGGGAACGATTGCTAGGTGGGTCGTAATGAACGAAGTTGAGGGAAACTTGATAAATGATAGTGCAAGTCAAACATTTATCTCAATTGTCGTCATAAAATGAGAAAAGAATCAAACTCCCTTTATGATGAGCTTTTTATTAGGCTTTACTCTAATTTACCTAACTCCCTTCATGCAGATCTACCAGTATTGGGTTTTTTTGCTGTGTGTCTCTTCATGTGCTCTTTGATCATGTGTCTGACGAGTACATCATTGGGCGGACGGCGGAGTGCGGGTCCGGAGGAGGTTTCCGACGTTGTTGTTGTTGTTTTTGTTGTTGCTGTTGGTGTTGTTGTTGTTGCTGTTGATGATGATGATGATGATGATGATGATGATGATGATGATAATGATTGATGGTGGTGGTGATTGCTGTTGTGGTTGCCGGCGACGGTGTGTCTGCTGCGGCCCCACGCGCTTCTCAATGTATAAACTGATAGAAGTTAGTATTGATTGATGCTGTGGATGGATGATAGGTGATGGAGAGACGTGGATGAATGGGATGCAAGGTAGACTCACAGCTTCATGGTGATAATGCGATTAAGGAGAAAAGAGAAAAGAAGAAGCAAAACAAGGCCAGGATGAAGGTAAGATATCCATGTTTCTAGTCGAAGAAGGCACTTTCCATGGCATCAATGAAACATTTCAAAGTTCAAGTGCGAATTACTATACCTGGCCCTCCTGAACGCAATGGCGAACCATTGCTACTACCTCGCCGATTTAATGACAATGGCTAGATGGCTTGATCAATCCTGCTCCCTGAAACCATCCACTCTAAGCAGTTGCTGTTACTGCGCATATAGTAGGTAGATAGCCTGAGAGAGTTCTTGCCCATGAAGAAAAGGAGGGATGAGGAGCGGAATAGTAATGCGAAGGAGCATACCATCACCAGGCAGCCGAACATCTAAGAAAAGGACATAGGGACGGATCGAAACCCGGTCATATTCATGAGATGTCTGTGTGTGTGTGTGTGTGCAGTTCCGAGAGCGATGTGGAAGCGACAAATCTCCCACCGATTTCATCCAGACACCGAGGATGGCTTCTCACACTTGGCAAATCATTATCAGTATCTCTTCATCTTTTGATCAAATAGTGATCTAAGAATGAAGATAAAGAGCCTAAAATAAGGCAAAGTCTGTTCGATATTTATCTCATCTTTTCCAAAACTTCTATAGGCATTTGCCTAGGTGACGGGGGCCAGCAATTTATCGTGTTTTCTATAGTCTATCCTTTCTACACCATTCCCTTTTGTAACCTTGGATCCCTTGTCTCTCTTTCCTGATACAGCTCCTCCTCATCACTTCCACTACGCTCCAACCCAAACTCCCTCGTCACCTTGATGATATGACGAGTACTATCGTCATCTCGCTCTTGGTTGGTATCTCCATAGTCAACAGTGGCAGTGGCAGCAGGCCCTAGCTCTATCCCATGGGAGCGACCTGATCTCGTTTGCCTGTCTCGTACACGTCCGATGGTCAAGAGGTCGGTGTGGTGAGATCCACTGTACTCTTGGGTGCTCTTGTCCTTTGCGAGGCTCTTGAAGAATGCTCTGAGTGATGGGAGGGAGCCGGCGATGATGCCTACTCCGCACTCTACCACAGTCCAGAGGATGATGTTTGCCACGGAATCTGTCACCCGATACTGATTAGCTGTCTGCGGAGTCCGAGGGAGACAGTACGGTACGTACACACAAAGGTCGAAGGCTGAAGATATGCGTTCGAATATGGGACTCGGATGATGCTTGCGATCGACGCTCTGTATTTGCCTCGTCAGTCATGTACAGTAGAAAGGAAGTCGGGATTAAACTCACAGCACTCCCAGACCCATAATCAGCTGCGCGTACAGCTTCAACTTGGACCTCATCTGAAGCTTCCGCACAAGAACCATGGGAATAGTCGCGACCGCAAAGTCAGTGATGACATTGGCAGCCGACGCCGCGTACGTCAGGATCGTGGGAAGGATCTTGTTCATGCACTTCCCCCTGGATGGGTCCCAGAAGGCCTCAACCGGTTGGCACTGCACCATGATGACGATGAATCCGACCGAGCTCATCAGGATGGACAAGCCGATGAGGCCTCGTAGTAGCCAGACGTATACCTTTCCCGTTGCTATTCGTAGGACCGTGACGCAGATGCTCGATTTGACGCATACGAGGGTTGCGGCGTAGAAGATCTGCCATAGGAAGACATACTGTTGTCGGATCTCGTTAGGATGGTGTGTGTATCTCGGCCGGATCGAGGCGACGAACCTTCATGCCCTCTCGAACTTGGGCATCAGTAAGCTTCCTCCGCACCGTACCTATACCGCGATGGCATCCGACTATCACGATGACGTTGTGTACTATGTACGATGCCTACTAAAGTCAGTTAAGAAAAGGGTCAGTGTTGGTGGCTGCTTACCCATCCCGCGACCATCAGGTGGTCATCGGTACCGAGACACCGGTTCCTCGCTCGGACAAACGTCCGCATAAGAACCACAATCGTGCAGAGAACCGAGAGGATAACCGTCGTGGCGTACGTCCCGAGAGCCAGGCCCTCGGGCTCAACGGGTTCCCAGTCCTCAGCCATGGCAGATATCTGTCGATGAACCAGGCAGCCGGTGTTGAACAAAAGTTGCCAGAATAGAGTTCATACTCAATAGTTCCTTGTGACAGATTAAAGCAAATCCGGTCTGTCAGACTCGGATTTAATCATGCAAGAACTTTGTCCCCTTGCTTTTTCTTCAACAAGGACCCTCGTACCTCTTCAAGGGTTAGAGTTTCCTACCTTGTCCGCGATGTGACCTGTTGTTGGCCGAGTACTAAGCGCTAGGCTCGTCTCAGGATGATCCCTCGGGCCAAGATTGCGCGGGTAGGCTAGGCATTGTTTCCCGTCCCCTTCGTGGCTTTGGCTTTGGAGGTTAATTAGACCACTTATGGCCAACTACTTGCTTCAAAATGTCATACATACGATAGAAACTGATCGTTAAGTAGATAAAATATCATCTTCTCTGTGAGCTGTGCCTCTTTCGCTTAAGAGCCCTCAAATCCTCCCCACTACTCATCCAAGGACACTTCCCCAGGGGCACAGCAACCCCAGAACTGTTCCCTTGGCATGGCCTGACAACCTTGTTGATCTCACCGCTAGCAAGGGCTCACGACGGGGCCACCCGTACGCTTCCAATATTCGTATTGGCAAAGCGATGAGAACTACTGCACTGCTACCATGGGGAACGCAGGCGAGCCATCTCCCATGTCGAAACAAGATGCAGGGGCTTCACCGCTACGACCCTGAACGGCCGGGTACCTGTAACGGTCAGCTTCACAGCCCATGACCCCGATGATCCCTTATAAAGAGAAATCAACCCGCACTGTCGAAGCTCCTCTGTTTGATCAGCTTCCCCTGTGAATCCCCCCTCTCCCCAGCAACCATGTCCGCCTACACTGTAAAGGATCGATTTGCCATAGTTACTGGAGGCGGCTCCGGTTGGTTGTCTCTGCATGTGATATTTGCTCGTGTAGACTCATCCCCATCTCAGGTATCGGCCTTGCCACTGTCCGATTGCTCCTCGCAGCTGGATGCTCCGTCATAATCGCCGACCTGCGTCTCCGACCCGAAGCCGAACCCTTGGTCTCCGAGTACCCCCATCCCGCGAAAGAATCCAACAAGCCATCTCTCGTCTTTTGCGAGACTGATATCTCCGACTGGACACAGATCACTGCGTTATGGAAGACAGCCCTCGAGACGTTTGGACGAATTGATATTGTGGTCAACAGCGCTGGAGTATATGAGCCTCCCTCAAGCTCCTTCTGGAAACCCCCTGGTATCTCTCCCCTCTCTGAGGACCCTGAAGATGCCAAGGTGGGCCAGTATAAGAGCTTCGCCATCAACACCATCGGCCCCATCAGGCTGTCCCAGATTGCTATTGACTATTGGCAACAGAACCCAGAGGTAGAGGGAAACCTCCTTTGGGTTGCTAGCATGGGTGGCTACATGCATTCCATGCAGGCTCCTCTTTACTTTGCAAGCAAGGCCGCTCTCGTCAGTATGGTCAAGTCCCTGTCTGGTCTGAGAAGGGCCCTGAACATTCGAAACTCGGCTGTCTGCCCAGGACCATGCTTTGTACGTCTTCTATGCCACGTTAACCCGCTATAGATGCTGACGATGACAGACGCCCATCTTTGAGCAAGAATACTGCCGTGACAGACTTCGACCAGGCGATATTGCCTTGAAGCCCGAGGACTGCGCCGAGTTGATTATGCGTGTGCTCCAGGAGCCCCAGTACGGAGACGGAAACATTGTGGAGATCATGATGATTGGCACAAAGGAGGAGCAGACGGTCAATGTGCGCGAGATTGGGCTCGAAGCTTTGTATCCGACTGTAGGTCCATTGGATCAAGGCACCCGCGCCATGGCGGAGGAGCTCAAGTTCTTTGGCGAGGTCAAGGAGAAGGGCATGCATACATAGTTGATTGTTGGCGTCAAGGGCTTACTGAGTAGTTCTTGAGCATACCACAAATGATAATCCATACCCAAAGAGTCTGAATTACTCGGCTAGAAAGATCGAGACTTAACCTTTATTCGCTCTACCATCGGAATGTCACATGAGTAGAAACCTTCTCAGTAGGTGTAGGCATTCTGCCAGAACATTAGATTTCAAGACAACATTTCAGAGCTTTGCAGCTTTGCAGATAGTCCCAAGTTCCATGGTCAGCAATCGTTCTGGATCTCACTTCCTGTCGGTTTGAAGGCCTTGAATCCAATCAACCACAGTCTGAGGTTGGCTTAGAAATGGGCTATGGCTGGCGTTGCACCTGGTCACCTCCACATCCACGCCCTCGTTGACAAGACGGTCGATCAGGGCTTGCTGCGCTTTCCAATGTATCGCCCTGTCCTGATCGCATCTGAGATATGCAACCTTGGCGTGTCGCCATGCTTCGTTCTCTACCGCTACTGTGGTGGGATGCACAGAGAACCCGGTCAACTCGGCTATGGCCGCCTTTAGTGCTTCCGGCGAGAGGTCATGGTAAAACGACTCCTCTGGATTTGAAAACAGGGCGATACGATTGTCCTGTTGCATGGTTAGAAGGGTGGGCAAAACCTTGGAATCTATACTAACCACAACAGTAAAGTTCGCCATGATATCGGGGGCCCCGTCAATTACAGGTCCGCCACTAAGCGTTTATCCCTTTGCTGGGACTATGGCGGTCATGTATGCCAGCCACTCAATGCCACCGTCAAGACCCTTGCGAGCACGCTCTTGCAATCCCAAGCCGGCAAGACCGTTGGTTCCGACAAGGCCGCCGTATGAGTGTATCAAGACAATGATTCGTTTTCCTTGATGAGCCAGCTGCTCAGCGATCCCCCTCACAACGTCAATGTCACGGTAGTGTGACTCTTCTGGAGGAAGAACAGCATTGCTGGGCAGCCGAGGGTTGTGGACAGCGTATCCTGAGTATTCGAGCAGATTCATCAAAGGCTGAAAGTGTTTAGGGGTGTGAAAAGCTCCAGAGACGATGAGGATGGTGGGTTTTGATGCATACTCGGCGGCCACTCCGGAAGAGGCCACGGCCAAGCCGAGAGTAGCAAGCCAAGAAAGGGGTCTCATGTTGGCATCTGTTTCTCTTGGGTATATCTTTGGGGCTGGAGAGGTCTGTTGTGCAGCTGCACTGATGGAGGAGTTGAGGTTACTCGTAGCGGATCTTGTACAAAATAAAGTCAAGCAGCAAACTGCAATACCATCCGGAGTGGACAGCACTCGGGGTCCGACAAGAAGATGCTGCCCGATACTCTCTCTGGGTCCATAAACGCAGTTAATGTGAAAAGCTCTCCTTGCCAGGAAGCGAATAAAAATCAACAACAAAAACAACCCTATTATTAAAGTTAATTACAACTAACCAATTATCATCATGACCATCATCCCAAACCAGAAAACTAAGTTTTCGACCCAGGTCAAATGACGTCGTTTCAGCACGACTGATATATCCGTCCCTACTCCACAAGCCCGGGGTTTAGTTATCTCCAGCCCGTTCTGCATATTCTTTTTACATACACAGCGAGTTGTTGGAAGGACGTGCTAGGCTATTGGGCAATTGCTTGTACATGTCCCATCTCCTATGCCTTCTTAAACGGCGTGTCCCTGCGATAGTGCCAAGTGCATGCATCGTTGTAAACCTGCTGGTAACCAAAAACGCCCTCAACCAGGTTCAAGATCATGGTAGCCGAGATGGTAAAGATGCTTCCATACCGATTCTCACAGAACAGAGTGAGTCTGTCGTAAGTCACTCCAAAGCCAGAAGTGCCATGGTTCAGCTCAATCTCTACCGCAGGGGGCTTGGTCATGTTAGAGAGTACATCACCCTGGAATTGAAAGTTGCTTACCTTGGTTGTCAGATTTGGGTTGATTCTGCACCATCTCTTGAGGTACTCAGACAGAACCTCGAGAGTCTGACTGTGGCTACACTCAATCTCGATCTTGTTCTTTCCAATCGCATAGACAAAGAGGTGGTAAGGAGTCTTTTGGAGGAGAGTGCCAGGCTTGGGCATAGTGTTGGGATCAGGCAGATAATCCACAGTCGGTGGCTGGCTCTTTGTCTGTGATTGCTTCGCAGGCTGCTCTGCTGCTTCCTCGACGCCGACATCAGCCCATTCATCCCCAGTAGTGGAGTGAATAGGTAGTGGTTTAGAGGGCTTCTTGGCTTCGAAGCAGTCGAGGAGCTGCTCTTTGAAGACGCCGGCAAACTGAGCTGGCTGGTAGACCTGAGTATTGGGCAGAGAAAGCACAAAGCCCAGACGTCCATCAGACCATTGTGTAGAGGCATGCTCACTCTCGGAAATCTATGTTGTCATGTTAGCCGTCTTGTTGTTGAAGCCCGCCATGTCCTGTTTGAAATCTACTCCAAGACTTTCATCGTGCTTACCTCAACAATCAAGTTCAGTCTGGAACAAAGCTCATTGATCTTGGTCAACAGCTTATCCGCCCACTCCTCTTGACTCTCATCATCAAGCAACTCGGTCAGAACCTGGAACCAGGTCTGCAGAAAAGATACCACTGAGGCGATGAGCTGGTTCTTGTCCTCCCAGACATTATCCAGCTCAGAGACAAGAATCGGCCATTCGGGCTCACAATGAACATCGAGACCGAGCACTTCTTTGAGGGCCTTGATAGCCTTTTGCGCAGGGCTATCAGGGTTTGTCCAGTTGTCTCTGACAGAGACCTTGGCCTTCAACGGTCTAACAGGTCAGTAGATGGATACACCTCTGGGGAAGACAACTCACAGAGACATGTTTAGAAATAGCGCAATTCACTTCAGCTTCTGAACATTGATAGTCAAGAACGACAAAGGCCCTCCCCCAACAAAAACATCTTCACTGCGACATTATCAATCACGTCGTCTAATCTACCCAGACCCCTGAAAATGCCCCCCAGTTTGCCCATAGCGTTGCCCCGCGTGCCCGCTTTCACGCCGCTTCAAAAGCCAGCCCTTCTCCATTCGGCGCTAACTTTCAGCTGGGCGTTATGGCGCCCTTGGGGCCAGGCACAAGGCAGATTTTGGTGCAGCTGTCTCCGCAAGCGGCTCTTGGGGCTTGGCAGACGTGGAGATTGCATCTCAGCTAGCTGTCAGCCCAAGGTCGAATGTTTGCCCGCACGTGGGAGGTTGGTGATGGTGTCACACCGAATGCAGGAGGAACCAGGGGCGTCGTCCGGCGTTTACGATTTCCATTCTAGACCCAGGTCAGAAGTTGCCGAATGAGCCGTCCCTTGGCTAGGCAGATGTTGGCAAGTTGCCTAGGGCAGCTGTTGAAGCTCTTCGAGCTCAGGGGTTCATCAAGCTATCACTTCGGTCCATAAAAGCCTCTATGTCGCAGCTGTCACCGACTTTTTCCAGAATCCCATCATTCTTTCAACCTCCTTCCTCCAGATCTTCTCTAAACCTTTAACAACCTATCTTACAATATGGCTCGTCTTCCTCCTGCCGAGAAGCTCCCCCTTGCTGTCCGCAAGAACAGTACGTCTCCATGAGCACAGTTTGATAAAGTGTCAGGCTAACAGTCTTCTAGTCCGGGATGGCTGGGAGAACAAGAAGGAGGAGTGGGAAAAGAAGCTCTCAGATCTCCTTGGAGAGTCATGGACTATCGACATTGACCCCAAGGCCCTGTACCCTTATGCCGAAGCGGACTCGTGGGCATCCACTTCTCTTGGTGACTGCATCAATGGGTAAGATTTTCTTTACTTCCACTCATCACTTCTTCATAGAGCCCCTCTCAAGAGTTGGTCGTCCACTAACATGTCTACTATAGTTACGTCGAGGGTGTCGAGTATCAGATGCGATACTTTATCGACTCCAACGGAGGTGATGGACCCAAGTCTGAGATCAACAACATCTGCTCAGCCCATGTTCTCACAATGGACTTTGACGAAGAAAACACCGTCTCCTACTGTGGCCCCAAGGTGACCCCCGAAGGCAAGCTCGTCATCCTCTTCACCGCGGGCAACCTGGGCACAAACACAAGCTACGCCGCCGAGAGCGGCAAGCTCATCAAGGCCCTCAACGAGGGTCCCACGGGCGACAGGCCCATGAGCTACATCGCCCGCGCCTCCATCAGGAACGACTACGAAAAGGATCTCCCCGAGGTCCAGAAGAAGCTCAACAAGATCTTTGGCAAGGACGTCGCCATCGTGCCCAACTTTGAGGACAACTTTAACAAGCTCAAGGCTGACTCCAATGCCCAAGATGGCTGGGAGGACAACTTTGGTCGAACTCACCTGTCGTACCTGCAGGGTCTGGTCTCTGACCTTGAGTACCAGAAGTTTGACCAGGATGAGATGCTCCAGGAGGGTCTTGTCGAGGCTGTGGAGGAGAGTGCTGTTCACGTCCGTGTCGTGAGTGAGATGAAGAGGTCTTATAACGAGACTGTCATCGAGGGTGGCATTCTCTATCTTCAGGTATGTTTAGTGCCATATACTCACTATGAGATGTTCATCTCAGTGAGTCTGTTTTCAAGATGCAAGCTAACGATTCCTGTAGACCATCCCCAAGGACTTTGGTGTCAACGCCCACAGTATCGCCAACGAGCTGATCAACCTCCTGTAAGATGTCATGATGGATCACGAGTAACTAAGCGAGCGCCATTGAGATTTGAGAACCCACAGAATAAAACATTGTTCTACTGCCTGCCCTGTGCCATATGAGTCATGCTTGAAAGTTTCTGTGATGACTGGTGACTGTGTCCATGACAATAGTTGAATTTCTCTGCCTAAACTCTAACGCAATGAGTGTTTCGAAGTAACAACACCACGAGCCAATGTGAACAGATCCTAATGAGAGATAACAGTGGTTCATGCTATTTCCTCATTGTGGCACCCACTGCTGTCATCTGATCAAGGTCTGAATCTTGGGTTTAGTATCAAGAAAGCCAACGCTGGTATATTCCCGGGACAGGATATTGCCAAACCCACCTATCTATGACAGGAGGAGAAACGACATCTTCAAGGCAAGTCAAGAATCTTCAAGCAGAGTGGAGGTATCACGAGAATCTGAGACGTGGCCTCAAGGGCGGTCAGCCTGCAGACAAGACAACGCCCAGCCTTGAAGCTCCATCCTCTCCCCACACGAGCTCCAGGGCCCAGCTTCACCCACAGAGCGGCCAAACCGCTCAGTCCAAGCCTCAATCTCGAAGATAGAGAGCATCAACAACTCAAAAAGAGATTCTCGCAAGTAAATCTATCTGAACGTCAAAAAGACAGGACCGAGCGTGGTTCGAACACGCGGCCTAGAGATCTGCAATCTCTCGCTCTACCACTGAGCTATCGATCCTTGTGATGAGTTGTTCATGTCGACGTGTCCTCTAGAGTCGGTTGATGTGGTCTGGACTATTGGTGTGGCGTTGAAGTGCAAAAAAATATGTGAGAGACATGGGGCTCTCGTCAAATCAGGCAAAAGAAAAGGACCGAGCGTGGATCGAACACGCGACCTAGAGATCTGCAATCTCTCGCTCTACCACTGAGCTATCGATCCAATTGTGGCGAATTGACCTGGTATGTCGTCTCAAGTCGTACTGGCTCCCGCGTCGAGAATCCGCAGATTTTGGGCCGCGTCTTCAGGGTAGACAAGGACAACTCTTCCATGGCAGTGTCATTCAATGGAACGAAATGGAGAACACCGCCATCCTTTAGGTATTCGTTTCCTAGATAAAAGGTTGTGTGTGTAAAGATGTAAAAGAGAAAAAACGAGGTTCACACGGGCAGAGATTAATGACCATCTTCGAGCACGCCATTATTTATGTGTTGGCATTGTTCATGTCTGTTGTTACCCCACCCTTGATCCTCCCATTTCGTATGTCGTTGACTGGGTATATCCGAATACAAACTCCAAAAGATAACATTCCTCCATGCCACTTTTCATCCAATAGCACGGTCCACGTCGACGCCGTACCGCTGCTTCTCCCTCATGTATGAGTCGGTAGTGTCCCAATACTTCAGTGTATAGAGACTCCTGCTAAATACTCCTGATTGAGCTAGCTCTCCATCATTGCGCCATTCTGACCCAGGAGGAACGAATTCGGGTGTAGTCATTTCGCCGCCGGCAAGGAGAGTTGCTGTACCGGCGATTGAGCACGGGTTATGTGGCAGGACACCTCGGACTTCCATCAGCTGCGTCGTTGCGATGGCACAGACAACCATGGTCGCGAGCATGGCCTGGAGCGCAATCTTGGTGGGCTTGTTCTGTTTCAGGCGTCGGTGCCCTGACGTTGTCAACGTTCCGTTGTACGATGGCAGTCGAGTGCCGTCGGTAGCGTTGCCGCGCATGTTCAAGGACATGGCCTGCGCCATGTAAACCTCGTACAGACGACTGGCTCCTTTCGCCGCATTCTCCCTGCCCCCCTCCCCAAGGTATTCTTCGAGAGGCCGTCCAGCTTTGCCATGAACGAGCGCCGAGATGAACTGGTCGATATTGGCGTATGCCGGGCTCGTGCTGTTCGGGCCCGGAATGGTGCGGTTGTACACAGAGTCGCTTAGGCCCTCAAGCCAAGCATTGATGGCATATTCGTACCGATAGCTGCCTGTACCGTTCCTCACCAGAGTCGCTGTAGACTCATCGACCTTGGGCTTGCCTGAGCTGGTGAACTGAAAGTCAGGCAGGCTCCAAGTAAGATTCGTTTCCACTCGCTCTAGGTTCTGGTAGCACATCAAGGTTTCAAGGTCATAGTCGATGTCCCATTTAGCGGAACTCTTCCCGATCTGCTTGAGGCTCTTGACTTGAACGGTCCCGAGAGTGAGCGCAAAAGTCGGGCAGCCGTTATTCCCAGTGCTCAGTCCGTTGGCACCGTAGCCATCGCCGGTGGTAGGATTGGTATTGATAGCACCGTTGCCCGAGATGGATTGGCTGCCCCATTGCATAATTGAGGCTTGTCCCACGTATACTGGGTTCGAGGTGTAAGGCATGAGAAACGACTCCTGCCACCAGTTTTCCGTCAAATTCTTGTTTGGGGACCTCTCGCACCATTTCGCATAATCCAAGGTGGTGTTGAAACCGACCTGCATGTAGCCCTGGATGGCCTCGGTGAACCCGTTCTGTCCCGGGATGGTTTGGGTGTAGTTCCCTTTGGCATCGACCATGACCATTTTTGCTTCTCGTTTCTCAACAACAGTCGTGCAGTTGAGCTTTGGCCGATATGCCGGGACGTTGATGGTGAATGGCGCTTCAGTCGAATTCTCAATCTTCACCTGAGGCGGCTTGAAATGGTTGTAAACGAGCCCCTCATGAGTCCATTGTGGATAGTCCAAGTCGAGGTACTCGATAAGACTGTCGATAGCAGCAGCCTGGTTGTCGCTGAGTGACAGATCCACATTGTTAAAGTTGAACGTGTCGAGTTGCTGGATCGCTAAATCCTGAACTTCAGGCACGTTGATGGCGCTGTAAAGACCAGAGATGACAATCGTCAGAAAGCTGCCGATAAAATTGGCAAGCAAAGCCACAAGGACCGCAAAATGTCGGGTCTTGAAGGACATGAAAGCTGCATGGGGCAAGAGCTTGCCAACCATGTTCAGGCTGATGGATCGCTCCGCGGGAGCTCTGCCCTTCTTGAGTGCGTGGAATGGAGCAAAGACAGCGACCATGAACTCGACGGCAGAATACATACTGGCAACTCCAAGTACTACCGCGGCTGGGATGTATGTTGCAAGGACAATCGAGTCTGACGGGCCAATGTCGACGAACCCAGTGTTGGTGTCTGAAAGACGTTGAACGATCTCTAGAGCGGCGATGAGAAGCAATGGCAACACAATGGTCACGCACAGGAACCAACGTGTACCTGCCATGGGCCACCACCAAGGTACAGCATGTGTTTCTGCGCTTGCTTTATACGAGACTTGCTCTTTGCTCTGAGCAACGGGCTCGACCACGAAGGCTGGTTCCGGTCCAGGAACAACTACACTTCGGAAGCCAAGGCCCTGCAACCGTGAGCGGATCTGGCTCTGACGGAGAGACCCCATGTTCATCAGAGTCTGGCGCAGAGACTTACTCGCCGCAAGAATAGCAGCCGTAGTAGCAGCGGAGCCAGGCTCATGAGGGACCACGTCGCGAGGTCGGACAAAGATTGTGCCAACGGCTATCAGTGTGAGAAGTGCCAGGAAGGCGCACATGAAACCGGTTGACTGTGCTTTGACATGCAGGCGGTTCTCGACATACGAGATATTTCCCGCCACCTGTTTCTCCATTGGCTGAAGAGCGAGTTGTCGCATCAGTTGAGCAGCAATGCCATTGAACACGCTCGTTCCCGTTTCAATGAGGAAATCGGGGTCAAGGAACGCTCCAACAGACGAGTTATCGTTCTTCATGCTCATGAGCTGGAAGAAGGTCGGCACTACCTGTGACAGGGCATAGTCCTCACCACCAGGTCCAAGGTAAAGGGCCTTGGAGGCGGTTTCGACACCCCTGGCGACGGCCCCAACAGGCAATCCAGAGACGAGCTTCCGGCCCGATTTCGAGATGGACGATAAGACTGCTCGAGCAGAATTATTGACGAGACTCGCGGCCTGCACATCGAAGAATTGGAGATTGTATCTCGGCTTGCATAGTGCCACCTTGACTTCCTGAGCGTAGAAATAGTCTGCATTGGCCTTCGATATGTTCCATGGTGCTACCCTCAAGTCGGCCACAGACAGGACTATCCGCTGGTCTGCATAGACGTCTTGGATCATGTCGCGTTTGTCGGTGTCATTCGCTTGGAGATACTGGGTAGCAAAGTTCCAATCAACATTGCAAGGGTACACCCCAAAGAGTCCCTGGTAGTTTTGCGTCGCATTCTTTCGATGGTAGTAGTTGTGATCAGGGCCGACGCCGATCGTGACGCCATTAATCTTGCAATCGGAAGTCGATATATTGGTCACGATGAATGATCCCAGGATACTCTTCCAGGGCATTCTAGCCTCGGTTCCATTGGTGATGGGCAGGATCTCGCAATCAAGACCTACGCGAATGCCCTCGGTTGTCAGAGTATAATTGAGATCGTCGGACACGCCGTTTGGGAGCTGGAGCTCGGGTAGGATGAGATTCTCGGAGGTCCCGGCAGGGTACTGCAGACCCTGGAAGTGAATGCCGTAGTACAATTGGGCGGCAGCTGGGCCGACTTTGAAAGCAAGGTCGACATCTTTTGGGTCTTTGACCCGAAATTCATTCTTGATGCCAAAGTCTTGACTGGTCTTGGTCACCTCGGTTGACTCGAGGATCAGCAAACCGGTGGAGAAGACGGTCTGGGGTGTGTTAGAGACTGTCTGGGCGGACTAGGGGAGAACATACCGTGCCGAGTATCAGCAAGTGGCCGGTGATGGAGAGGGCAACGGCCCAGTGGCGGTTCTTGATGGCTTGCCAAAGGGCAGTGGGCACCATGGGCGAAACATAGTCGAGCAATAGGGACTTGTCAGCGGGAGATGGGCCTTGTTGCAACTCTTTCCAAGGAACCAGCATTTTGTTATGATGATCGACTTGCTTCCATAATGCCCCGACGACCACAAGCACTGTGCCGAGTTAGACATGAAAGCATGTGATGACATCCTTGAGGGAACTTACAGGCAGTTGGGCCATACTTCCAGCCATAGTGATTAGCTTCTTTTTGGGTGCTAATGCCATTGTTTTCCTGGGAGAAGTGGTACAAAAGGCCTGTGGCCAGCGTCATGCAGACAAACACAAGAGCAAAGAGAAACAGCACTATCTTGGACAGCCACATTGGCGTCCACATGTGTTTTCGGTGACCATCTTGACCTCCAGATGGTGGGGACCTATCTGTGTACTGAACTGTGGTGTTGTGCTTGGGATCCACGGTAGGCTGTACCGGAGAGGGCTCCTGCGAAGGTACACAGCGTTCGTATTCCTCGCTTGGACGGAGGGGAGACACAGGCCGCGGCGATTCAGAGTCGTCGCTCCTGGAACGAGCTAGGAGATCGTACTGTTGTTGACCTGATGTTGGGCTCTGAGTATATGTCGTCCAAGTGGATCCGTCTAAATAGCCACCCGTGGGATGCATGTAGCCCAGGTCATCCTCGTCTTGCTGCGCAGCTGGAGGGAGATGTTGTTAGCTGGCAGATTGGGTTGTCCCATTCCTCAGATGAAACACACCTTGTTGGTACCGCTTTGAATGCATGGTGCTAGCTATGGCCGGCGGCGCGCCTGCTGAGGCGACAGGTTTTCTCGCGCCCGACATTTCATGCAACCACGACGACAACAGTCAATCACGTAGGCCAAACGGCTGAAAAAGTCAAGACGAATAGAGAAGCCATGGATGGCATCTTTATGAGGGACATGCGACTGCAAGCGCTTACACCCCAGTATGTTGGAGAGGCTGAGGGGCCAGTCACGGTGGTGCTCGATGTGGCACTGACTGGGAATGGTACAGGAAGAGACTGTCTCCGCGTCGAGACTCGACCAACAGGCCAATCAGACGGGGTCTTGCATCCTGAAGGAATCGCTCAGCGCTTGAATTAGACGATGCAAGGCACGTTCAATTGGCGGGTATTCATAGATGAAGCAGGCGGAGGATTGGCGCCGCATATGGTGTTACTCGCATCATGCTTTTCTCACATCATCGTAAGTGATTGTCCTTTGTTGCCTGGAGGTTAGATATATCGCTAGTTAAACTACTATTTCCTCGTGTCGTAGTATCCATAGCTGCCTAGGTATCTCGTGATTGACGATCAAAGACCCGAATGAGTTTTCGAGTTTGCCCTCAAAAACTGGAGGTCCAGAGAAAGTGCTTCAAGCAAGCCACCCATGCCAGTCTGCCAATAGGACTCATTTTACTAACGTTTCAGCCTTGCACTAGCTTTTACGCTAGGACATTTTGGTCGGCACTAATAGCGGCAAGGACTGCATCCCGACTGATCGTCCTGGAACAACAAAAGGCCGCCATGATCAATTCGCTGCCGAGATGCGGTGAAGGGAGAGATTCTCGGATGATGTGTTTTGGTGGTTACCCAAATCAGCAGCTACAAAACTAAAGGGTCGTCCGAGTGGCAAATGATACCGTCGATCGTGATCCACGGCAGTGTCAGCGCCATGCCGGAGACGAGGCTAGGCACGAGCTGATCGCCGGGGTCTGATCATTTGCTCGTGCGGGAAAAATTCCGTGGCAGAGGCAGAGTTTGCTCAGCGATTTTCAGGGGACTTTTTCTTCCTGATGGTTCGTGAGACGATTGAGACATCAAACAAAACGAGTACAACATTGGAGGGTTTTGCATTGAGGCGTTGGTGTTGGCATAGGCAGAATCTAGAAACGCTGATATTTATGCGAAAGCTGTCAACAGCTGTATCAGCCTCAATCCTTCCAACGTCTGCGCCCGCCCTCGGCAGCTTCCCGCGCCACTTTTCCCCTCCTCCGACGTCTTTTCGGTCTCGAAAAACATGGGCAATCTTTATGTGGAGTGACAAGTGACAAGGGCCAGGGGTTTCTTGGGACGAAAGGGTCCGCGCCGCCAATGACCTCCAACATGTGTCGTCTTCTAGGCACATCATCTAGTTTTGTTTCCCCCCCGTCCACAATGGAGAAGAACTTTCGAATCTATTGGATCTCGGATCCGAAAGAGGGGGGGGCACTTTTGAACCTTTTGGAGCGCTCTGACGTCGTCCTTCTCCGCTTCAAATCTCGTGTGGCTTTGAGAAATGAAACCGAAACAAACGGTCTGAAACCCAGTCTGACGTGTGAAAAAAAACGTCGTGACCGAGCCTCGCCCGGCAATGAAAAAAAAAAAAATAGAGGACAAGAAGACGAAGAGGTAGGACAAGGCTATGCCCTGCCGTGCTCTGTATGCCCGGCTGTCCCGAGCTTTATCGGATCATGCTCGTTTCAAGAACAAACACACGGCACTACACTCTGTATGCTGCTGCTGCTGCGCGGCCAACACCAACAACCCACCACCAACTCTGAAGCAAGCAGCATCCGAGATGTGTAATTGGTGTGACGTCAGAGCCCAGAGAGAAACATCCCTGAACCCCTGATGATCACGGAGGGGGGAGGCGGGCTACGGGGACTTTGCGGAGCAACCTTTGAGGCTTGGGCAAACGACGCACATACGCAGACAGAGAGGCCTGCCGCGGCGCTCCCACTCCCGAGCGGCCACGACACGTCAATTGTGATGCGCCGTCTTCGTGGCTCGTCAATGGACGAGTTTCATCTCAAAGACCCTCTAGTGATGTGCATATGATGTCCTATTTTGAACTGCTCGCTTCATGCAGTTTTCCTTTCCCGATGATGCTCTATCCCTGATCATCGTATCCTTTCTGTGGGTGCGGCTGCTGATCACCCCCCATAGTCGTGCTTCCTCTCACACATATTTCACCCACATTGACCCCCAACTGGCACTTGACAGCAGATTTGTACACAATCCCCTTCATTTAATCCATTCCTCTCCCAGCTGCAGAGTGAACAAACATCTTTAGCACTCGTTTCATCTGTGAGACACATCTTGGTCTGTGGGAAAGCTGTGCTCCCTGCCCTTGATACTTACTTGAGCCAACAAACCCATTCGCTTTTTTTTCCTCCAGTCTTTTTTCTTGCATCTCTTGCATTCGTTTTATCTCACCATCGATCGTTTCGCTGAAATCCTTGCTGTTTCTTCGTATTAATTGGTGTACATCTGCATCATCGCGACCGACAACACGCATCACATCGCATCGTCACTCGGCCACGATACCCTCAATTTCCATCGTCTGCTACCAAACGACCAAAAGGAGCACTCTCCCGGAACTTAATATTCCCCTACCAGCAAATCGTTTTCGTATCTTGACTTTTTCGAAAGCCACCGACGCGGATCCTAGCACGAATCCGTCTCATACCACCACCCACAGACAGCCACACCAAGCCAAAAAACTTCAAACATCCCGATAAAAAACGATCTAGTCCCCCCAAGGGCAGGTTTCACTCGCAACCTCTCGACGCATAAACGTTTATATTCCCTCGGGAGTTTCGTTCCTGACATTCGACCCTTGGCGTGTTCGTCCCGTGAGCCTGGTTTGTCTTGCAACATAGTGCGTTTCAACCCAGTTGCCAGTTTATTGATCGAAAGATACCACGCCTGGCAGCTTGGATCAAGTCTCGCCTGTTTTTGAGTTCATATAATCGAACCTACCGTGTCTGGTTAATCGACATATTTGTTGCTGGAGACATTTCGACTTTTTCACTCACTTCACTTTACATCGCAACTTATTCACAATGGCTGGACAATCCACACGACGATGGCTTCAGCTATCCTTCATTTTCATGGCTGGCTCTGCGGCTGCCAAGGCGCTGACCCTGTCCGACTTTGAATCTATTTCTTCACCCAATGCCCCTGTCAACTGCGTCCAGGCCTACGACACCCCTCTCACCCAATGCGCCCCTGGCGACTTCACTGGTGGAAAGGCCTGCTCTGCTGCATGCAAGGACTCAGTCAAGCAGACAGAAGTCGTTATTCAGCAAGCATGCAGCGGCGCCACATCCGATGAGGAATCGCTCTTGTATCGCGGCCAGAGAGGTGAACTCGTCGCTGTCCTCTGCCGAGATATGGATGAGCCTCAGGCTGAGAACCCTGAGCCGGTTTCTACACCTGCGCCTGCACCTGCACCTGCACCCCCAACCACGACTTCTACGTCGGTTGCTTCGACTCTGGCTACTCGACCCAAGGAGAACATCTTGATTGAGACTCACGCAAGCACTGCCGAGGAGACGACAAAGGAGGAGAAATTGACCGGCCCTGGGGCTTCGGTGGGCGAGGACCTCGCAACCAAGAGCAGCGTCCTCGCCGTCGACACCGAAGAGCCTACGATATCTCTTCCACCTGCACCCACCGCCCTGAGAACCTCGGCGGCGGTCCCTACTCAATCCACTGAGACCAGCACCGAGGAGCCAAGCGCTACTCCAACAGCTGCTGGCTCAACCCATGTCCCTAGTATGGGCTACATGTGTGTTTCGTTCGCCATGTCAACTCTCTTTTACATGATGGCTTTCAATTAAAGTCGCCTGGAATAACTGGTGGGATAGATACCTTGGAGGAATGAAGCACTATTTTCTTGGTCTTGATCATTTATGGGAGGCAATCTACTTAGAATGTTGTACAAATAAGGATAGAGTCCATCAGCAAGGAGAAAGCTCCTGACAGAAGCTTTCATGCAATGCGACAAGATTCGGGGCTTGGAGCCCCTTTACACTGCACGATGATTCTCCTTTTACTCAATTATGTGTATGCGGTTGTATGCAATGAAATGTGATATGTTTTCAGTCTCATGGTGTCAGTTGATGTTGGTCGTGTTGCTTGCACTGAAACCCGATGTTCACGACAGCACCGAAAGTGATATCACGAACCATGGTTCAACCATCCAACATCTGAAAAATGAAGCCATCGTGAAATCTCATTCTTGATGAATTTTGCACCACCTGGTGCATTTTCCTTCTTGGCGGTTCGGGACAAGATCTTGGCCCTTGGCGCCCAGTGACTGGC